TTCTAGTATTTCAATGGACTGAGTAGCCGAGTGCAATCCTTTTTAAAAGCCGTGATGTAACTATTATGTAACTATTCTGAACTTATGAGTCTATTAAATAAAATTGTCAAATATACAACGTGGAAATGTTGTTACTATAGCGGAATTTTAAAGTGAGGTTTTATAAAAAACTCAGTTGGGTTTCAGGCTCTACTACAAACTGCCTTCAGTTCAAGATAATGCAATACATGGCAACGAACTGTTGCTAGCAAGCTGAATTTTGATCAGCATCTGTAATCGCTGAGGTAGTAAGAACTCAAGTAGAGAATACATTCAGAGTTCAGGCTCTAGAGTGGTTTCTAACTCGCATGTAACAAAGTAAATAGAATTGGGTGGGCGTAAGTACAAGATACAAGCTCTGTTGGTATTTAAGTAGAGGAATGTATTTTCAGGGGTTAGTTTGTTTTTTCGTGTTTCAAACCTACAGATTTCTTCTCTGAAAAAATATATACTGGTGAGGCAACGGGACATGATAAACCTAAGCAAACACATACATGCTTTACTGAAAGAAAGCCTTATTTTGAGAAGACTCTTTGTTTTCCTAGCAAAATTCCTATTTCCTGTCTAGTAACATTCTAAAAATTCTTAACCAAAATTACTGAAATGCTGCCTAAAACTTAAAGCCTTATTTTATTTTATTTTATTTTATTTTATTTTATTTTATTTTTAAGCTGGCTTGAAACACCTAGAAATGGAATTTATGTGCTTTAAAGTGCCATAATAAATAACCAGAAATATCAGTGTCTTGAGTATTACTTTTACACCGCTTGGGAAATAGAACCTATGATGCTACTGTTCTTCCAAAAAAGATGTCAGGTCAGACAAAATCAAAAAAGTTTAGGTGAATTTCTGTCACACCAGACAAACATGTCCTGAAAGTGAAACTGTTTGTCGACAGGTGAGGGCAAGATGTCTGTCATACACAGAAATCTTGGGGGATCACGCAATCACACGCTTCCAGTTTGCAGCATCAGCCGTTGCAGAATCCATTGCTTCTTCCACCCTACTGATGTTTTAGCTGATCATATTACTGAGCTTAGCCTAACAGCAGAAAAGCCTGTTCTTTTTTGTTCATCCTACCAACCACGGAAAATTACTTTTCCCATAATTTTGCACCATTTATCCTTTTTGTAATTTCCTGACTATTTGGGGATCATCCCCTTTACCTATGTCATCTGAAAGAATTTATAGCTGGAACGTATTTCTTGCAATTATTTTATTTCATGATCAGTATAAAAGTAAGTATTTTTCCTGGTCCCCTAATGTCTCGTGTGGAGTTGGCCAGTTTTCTACCTGCTTCATTTTGTATTTTTCTTGACTTTAATATGGACCCTGAAGACCTACGCCCTGTTCTTACACAGGACATTAGAAGCTGATTTTTTTTTGTTATTAAGGGAAGGAATCTCTGCATAGAAACAATAGAAACAGAAAACAAACCTATCTGATGAGGAACCTGCTAAGTTTATGATCAGAAATGCACTAAACAGCAGCTGGAGAACGAGTGCAGCAACCCATGGCATGCCATGAAAATCCTGCCTCCCTTCCAAAAGAAACAATGACACTGCTTTAAGTTGGACACTATGCCTTCTTCAGGGTCACCGGTCTATCACTTACGGCTGCTTGTTTACTCTTCTGATACCGAGTAGTGTTAAATGTTTATCTTCCACTTGAATGGAAAAAGCTTCCAATGTCTTTTATAGGACATCCGTCCTGATTACAATGAGATCACTTCTTGTAAAACAAAAGGCAGAAGAGTATCTTTGTAGAGCGATTTCCTTTGGAAACAAGGCTTATAAAGTCTATGTTTGTGTGTGTGTATGTGTGCTCTCTGATTTCAGCCACATGTGAAGTAAAGGCTAGAGGGCCCAAAGATAATTATTCTTCCACAAATGTCATGAAAATTTGCCTGATGGAGGAGATGGGCCATTAAAGTGCCTTAAAGATGGAAAGACTGCACATGGAAGTGACACTTCTTTTGACATTAAATGGAATAAAAATATTATAAGTCCTCTTGGCACATGGAAGAAGTTACCTTAAACACAGAAGGTGTTGACTAATGTTAAGACACAGATCAACAGGAAACTGGAATTCTTTAGAGCTACTTCTCCAGAACTACTTAGCCTTACATATTTATTAGTTTTATTTTGAATTTAGCTTCAGTCTCTGCTGCTGGTAACTTCAATGTGAGTGTACTGTGACCCAGAACTACCATATGTACAACCTGTCTGTGTTAGGTTAGACCACATACTTAAAATGACAAACTTTTTACAGTACTGCAAGCCAAGATTTATAATGCTCAAGACTTGAAAACACCATTCATTTCCAAGTTCCTTCTATTTGTTATTATACAAGCCAAAAGTTGTACTCCTCATGAAATGTGTATACACGATGTTCTCGTCAGTATAAAATGACCAATTGTCCTGAGATTTGAATAACTATCTGTAGTTCACTATAAGAATGGTGGAAAATAAACCTTCCAAGAACAACTGAAAAAGAAGAAATTATGCATTATCCAGCCAGCACTGCTTTATAATGCTACAGAATTATGAATTAAGGAGACAAGTTTTGTTGTGACATTTTTGTGCACCTTTTTGAAAATAATTTGGAGGGATAAATGAAACCCATTCAACAAACTGAAGCTGCAAATAAAATTTGCTCAAAGAGAAGCAGTTTCCGTATTCACTCCAACGCGTGTTAATTTAAAGCTGTGAGCAGTGTTCAATTTCTATCTTTATATCTCACTGTCTTCTCAAAGTGGTGTAGTTCTGCTGTTTCCATAGCAGGGGGTTTTCAGGCTTTGGCTGGTTGGCTGGGTTTTTCGGGGGTGGTGCTTTTTGGTGGTGAACTGAGGTAAAGGAGCAGAAAATGGAGTTGTTGAGCAATTTAGATGTGATATTCTACCATATTAGGGAAATCTCTTGTCTGAGCTTTCCAGGAACACTAATGAAATGGCACTGTGCTTTGGAGAGAGCGTAGTGGCTCTATACAATGCTCAGACCATCAAAGATTTTCCTGTTATGGTTTGGTTATATGATTTATTTCAAATCTGTTATCCTACTCTGCCTGCAGTCTCTGCAATTAATACCGGCCTTTCCTCTTCCTCTTCCCTCACTAACTCACACACGCACTTCAGATCAAAGTTTTTAAAAAACAAAGTCAATATGATGGGAAACCTCTCAGTTTTCTGAGGTTATGGTCCCTCTGTTAGCTGTCAGCTGCCCTAACAAAAAGGCAGCCATTATTTCTTCAAGTGTGGAGGTCAAGTGTAGGAAGATAAATTTCCTCTGTCAATGGCTACTTGGGCAATATTAACTGTGAGACTCAAACATCCAAAAAGAAAACGAATCACTGAATAGGCATGCTATTTTTTTTTTCCAGGTTAGAACCTAAAGATCTAGAATTGTTTATTCTAGTGAATACAAACAACACACAACCTTATCTACTTCTACATAATATTATGTTCAATCTATTCTGTTCAAAAAGCAGCCCATTCAAAGTCACTCTTATTAAAGTCAGATGCTGAAAATAAGTGTCCTGTAAGTATTTTTCAGGGCCCCAAGGGGCCTTGACCACAGGGCTTCCCCTGACCCCTGCCCATGAGCCCAGGAGCCCCATTTCATCTCGGCCTGGGGCGTTGGTCTGTGTCTGAGCTAGCTGTCAGAGGGTCAGTCCCCGTCTCAGGTACCTGCAGGCTTTACACAAAAATTCATGCATCAAACTCATTTCTGTGAAGGAACTGCCTTATAAAGGGCTTGCATTCTACTTAAAATTGTTTTACAAAAATAAAAGCAGTAATGCAGGCCAGCTCCAATCAAACCTCTGTTGGTGACTCCTTCCCTGCCTGAGTATGTGCTAACACAATGAATGCGTTAGAAACCCTTTGCACTATGTTGATTATTTGTGCTTGCAGTGGAGAAAAAATCCCACACAGTGTGATAGTGGGTGGGAGCAAGTTAGCACATATTAATTATTCTTTGGTGCCTCATTTCAGTCCCATTGTTCAGCCCTGGGAGGATTTAACACTATTTTTGTAGGTTTTGGAGACAATCCAGCATCTGTGTAAACACATTCTTGTCCCATGGTTCTCCTTCTAGCTTTGGCTTTTCTTCTAGCCCTTGTACATCAAATTAAGATTTTGTTGACACCTCCCAGAATGGTTTTACTTCATACTATCATTTCAGAGGAAAAGGAATTGCTCTTAGAGACCCTGCTCCCAAGAGTGAATTTGGCTTCCTTTCCAGCAAAAATGTTTCCAAAATCAATTTGCTCTTGCCAGATGGTCTTAATTATATTCTGGAGATATTTACAGGTGAAGTACTTTACAGTTTCAGAAGAAATACAAAGTTTCAGCAATAAGTGCAATCCAGAATCAGTTTCAGATAATGTCCTGCAAAAGTCTACTGAATCTCCATTGTTACAGTTGAGACTTTAAAATAAATAACAAATTTGCCATTAACTGGAGATGTACATTCTGAAACTAAAAACCAGAAGACAAACCCTGAGGACCACGCAGACTACTTATCTAGGCCTGGACATTTGCTCCCACTCACATAGCATCTGGTTCCCTTGGAAATCCATGCTCGAAATCAATAAGCCTGCCTCCAGAAAAGGCGTTAGCTAAGGATGCAGCTCAGCTCGTTGGGCAGTGCAAGTGTCCAACAGAAAATCAAGGGTTGGAGTGCAATTTTCAGGCTGGGCTCGTGGTGCACTGCTGCCACACACCCCAGGGGCATTCTTGCTCTGTGGCTCAATGTCTTCTGGGGCCATGCAGTACAGTCCTGTACGGTGAACAGCACATTTGAAATCATAAAGAATAGGGTAGCTTGTATCTCTTGACCTCAACAGCAACCATGAACTGAGACCAGGGAGTCCATGACAGAGAG